TTTTTCTACTGTAGTCTAATACATTGCCTTAGGGAGAAATATGACTTTTATTGAAAATTTTTTAGTAAATCTTGGTAAAATAATTTTAGTGAAAAATTCGTGGTAAAATAATGCCTTCGCCATCGAAAACTTGCAGTTTCGTGCACTAAGTAAGAGTCAAATGTACTACATAGTTGATTTAGTTACATATTTGCTTACTCACGCATGCCTAAAGCCATTTACCCGCTCAAGTAGACGGGGTATTACTCAGTAACGACAAATTTTACTTTGGTTAAGTGGAATATCGAATTAAGAAATTGTTGGCGAAACGAGAAAAACTTCAATCGCAACACCCATAACAAGCAGCGCTCGCTGACAGGAAAACTCACATACATACATATACATACATATGTTCATATCTCTATATATATATGTACATACATATTTATACATATAAATGCAGTGCAAGATTTTAGACTACAAAGTTTTTACGACAGGCATGTCTGACTCAAGTTTTGGTTAAGTGCGCTTACATACATATGTATGTACGAGTATGTGCATTTAAGCAATGCACGCCGATATACATTTTACATTTCAAGCAAAAATGGTAATGCAAAATGCAGCTGCGCGTGCAAAAAGCCAAGTTAACCAGTCACCAACAACAACACAAGCAACAAGTTCGCAGCGCAACGGCTACAAAACGATCGAATAGCGTGTGTGTGTTTTTAAACTCCATCGATTAAAGATAACGCGGCGCCCCATAAAGAAAAAATGCGAAATTCGAGTACAAAAGACCAACACATATGAAAAGAGTAGGTAACCGAGAGGAGGAAAAAGCTGCACACGAAAAAAATTTGATTGTTTTTGCGATCTGGCATGCAGTGTGCACCAATAGCGATGGCTCAAACCACAATTCTTTTCAAACTCAATTTTCGAATTCCATTGTTTTTAAATAGCATAGAGGTATTGTCGATCCGTTGCATACTGTCTATGCACCATGTTAGACAGTATGCAACGGATCGAGAATACCCCTAATGTATCTATAGTTATCCATATGTATATAGTATGCATACATGTAATCTCGTGAACTTTGAACTTCTTATGATCGAGCCGTCTCCTTAACTTGCGAAGAGGGACTGTATGCTTTAAGCCGCTTTACCTAAAACTATCTCAGATCACTGTTGGCATTTCTTTAAGTCTCTTCAGCAATTTAGAACGCTTATCGCCCAAAACGAAGGCGATTTTGATGGAGCTGGGTTCAATAGATCTCTCCGAAAGATATTTTCTGAGAAAATGCGGCTGATACTGTTCCATTCTTTAACTGACATCAAAAAAGAGAAGTCTACAAATTTCTCGAAATATATTTTTTATGTATGTTACTGGGTAAATTTGTACCTCGTGAACCGAAAATTCTTTTTTAATGGAAAAATATTTGATTTATTTCCAATCATTGGATCATGAAGAAACTAACGGTATTTGTAAATTTTTATAGGAGAAATAAGGTCGTTTTTTGTTTTTGATTAAAAATTACTTGTTTAAAGCCAGTGTCCAGCTGTCAAGAAAACGTTCACGAAGAAAATTGCCATTTCGTGTGTGTGTCCAAGCAATTTTGACATCTGATACTTCACCAGCCTGTTGCCTCATTCTTTCAATAATGGAACGAGCATAAATTTCTGTTGCAAGCATGGGTCGCCTTGT